GTAGAGGCTCAGACGTCGGTTCCCTACGCCATTGTGGGCGGCATCCTGGCACTGCTGGTGTTTCTGATCATATGTGTGCTAGTGGGCATGGTCTGGTGCTCCGTGCGACAGAAGGGTGAGTGGGGGCGGGGCCTGAATTCTAGGAAGGGTGTGTGGGTCGTGGCATTCGGAAGGGGCGGAGCCTAGAGCTCAGATTCAAAAGAGGGCGGGCTTAGAGGCCGTGTGAGGGGGCGGGGCCTCAACCTAGCTTCGAAATCGGGCGGAGATTCCAAAGGGGTGGTCTTGGTCTAGGACTCTGAAAAGGGTGAGATTTAGAAGCCCAATTAAAGGCAGGGATTTGAATAAAACAACTTATCTTCCTGATTGCTGGATTCATTGGGAGCCCAGCAAGGGCACACCACCAAGCATAGGGCTAGGGTGGATCTTTCCATGAACTTTTGGAGCCTTCCTAATTCTGCTTTTACCTCCTTCTCTGTCACTGTTTTGCTCGTCACCGTTGCTATTCCCCGTCCTGTATGTTCCATTTCTCCCTCCTCTTTCACTGGTGTCTGTCTTGTTTGTCTTCCTATCTCCATATATTTCTTTACATCTCCTGGATCCACATGTATGTCCCCACTGCCCTGGGGTCCCTCACCCCTCAGGCTCCTATCTGACCCACGAGGCCAGTGGCTTGGACGAGCAGGGAGAAGCAAGAGAAGCCTTCCTCAATGGCAGTGACGGACACAAGAGGAAAGAAGAATTCTTCATCTGACCCTACCCCCACCCCAGGCCTGGACCTAGGCTGGGGTCCCCCCACTGCCAGCTGCAAGGAACCAGCAAAGACATTTACCAGAGTCTGGGATGGTGGGCTTCTCCCCCTCACCACTAACACCTCAGACGCTTGGGCAGGGATGGGGGTGTTGGATGCCTGGCCAGAAGTGAGGGCCCAGAGGTCTGGGTCCTCCCCAGGCAGGGGCCAAAGGTCCAGATCCCCCAARTCCAGGGAGGGCAGTAGGGATTGGGTTGGGGGAAGATAACTGGGGGAAGGCCATGGCCCTCAGGCTACAGAACCAGGTCTTGTGGGGAGGGGGTCAGATTCTGGGAACTGTGGGGTGGGCAGGGAAGGGGAACACAGATTTCTTTGGGGGTCCCAGACCCCACGCCAGCCATTGTAAGAGTTCCACAGAGCTCTGGGCACCTCTTTGCAAAGCCATGTTTGCACGGTGGGAGGAGGGGTGGGGGGAGGGTTTGGAAACAGGGATTCTGTGTCTTTGTGTCATAACTTTGATGGGGGCAGTGAGGGAGACAGCCCCGACCCTTATCTCCAACCCCCCTTCCCCAGGTTCCTGGGCTCCCCTTCCCTCCACCTCCTCCTCTACCCCTGTCCCACCCATATTTGTCTTTCCACCCACTCCTGGGGGGGCCTTCCCCATCTCTCCTCCAGGCCCCCCGGGGAGAGGGAAAGGAGCTTGGGGGGATGTGTGGTCTCTATGGTTTTATATATAATATATTAAAAAAATCAAAAATCTGTATGAAAATATCAGATTGCACCCCTCCCCCCACTCCTGGCTTTTGGCCCCTTTTTCTTGTTTTAAAAAACACACACATTTTTGTACGGGGCGGGGAGGGGAACTGGGAGGGGGTTTGGCAATCCCACTAACCACCATTAAACTGAGGAGAGAACAAGTGTTGGGGTGGCTGTGTGTCTGTCACTCTGACATTAATCTCCAGGGAAACTTTCACTTGCATCTCATCCTGTCCCTGTCCTGCTCAAAACCTCTCCTTAGCCCTTTAGTCTGATATCTCATTTATCTAAATTATAGATGTATTATTTGAATTTTAGATTACAATATAACCGCTTACCAAAAAAAATAATAATAATAACCTCTTACAAACCAGGGTGTGTGCCTGTAGGCTCAGCTACTCTGAAGCTAAGTAGGAGGATTGTCTGAGCCCAAGAGTTCAAGACCAGCCTAAGCCTTAAAAACAAAACTAGGGGCTGGGGTTGTGGCTCAGTGGTAGAGCACTTGCCTAGTATGTGTGAGGCACTGGGTTTGATCCTCAGCACCATATAAAAATAAGTAAAATAAAGGTCCATTGACAACTAAAAAAAAATTAAAAAACAAAACAACTAACCTCCATCAATGTGCCAGGTGTTGCTTAAATTCTGCAAAGTTCAGGGTGAATAAGACAGGCAAATGCTAGGTATTATAGGTAGTTTAGCATGTAATGCCAGATTCGTGGGACCCCAATAGACCTCCAGGAGCAGAATCTGATGCAATCACACAAGAGTCTTTATTATAAACTCGAGCCTGGACTCACAACCGTTCCACACATTCACTGGCAGGAACAAGTTGGGTAGGGGTGATTGGTTAGTACAAGAGGGGGATTCCTTTGAACTGATTGGTTTAAGCCACTAGGGGAGTACATACTAAACTATACGGTTTCCCAACATGTTATCAACTACCATAAACTACTGGGGGGGTCATCTGGCATCCCAGATATTTTTCCTGTCTCATGCTGATTGGTGGTGCTAGGGGGTTACTATGGGTCCTCACCTAGCCTGAGTCAGGAACATCTGGGTCGCAGATCTCTCCTGTTATTTGCATTCAAACAACTCAGCAGGGTGGGTGTGTGCCTAGAAGTGCTCTGTGAGTTTTTCCAAGGACAAGG